ACTTGGCACTCGTCAGCAAGGTGTACCTGTAATCCTGAGGGAACTGATGCTCCCTGGCGGATTCGATCCCGCGTCACTCAGCTTCACAGTCAGAGACGTTACCACTGAGCTATTCGGGCCGCGACCGACCTCCTGTAGGACTGAGATCTAATCACAATTGATTGATCACTGGGTGGTGATCAATCTCATGCGTGTCAGGTCCTTAGTGCTGATCGAATGCTATCGATCAAGTTGCAATGTGGCCACCAGTCTAGGTGGCTCGACACTGCGGGCACTATATATATTAGGGTAACATGGTGGTTGGAGGTGGTCAACAGGAAACCCTGGACCCGGGTTTCGTGCTACTTGGCACTCGTCAGCAAGGTGTACCTGTAATCCTGAGGGAACTGATGCTCCCTGGCGGATTCGATCCCGCGTCACTCAGCTTCACAGTCAGAGACGTTACCACTGAGCTATTCGGGCCGCGACCGACCTCCTGTAGGACTGAGATCTAATCACAATTGATTGATCACTGGGTGGTGATCAATCTCATGCGTGTCAGGTCCTTAGTGCTGATCGAATGCTATCGATCAAGTTGCAATGTGGCCACCAGTCTAGGTGGCTCGACACTGCGGGCACTATATATATTAGGGTAACATGGTGGTTGGAGGTGGTCAACAGGAAACCCTGGACCCGGGTTTCGTGCTACTTGGCACTCGTCAGCAAGGTGTACCTGTAATCCTGAGGGAACTGATGCTCCCTGGCGGATTCGATCCCGCGTCACTCAGCTTCACAGTCAGAGACGTTACCACTGAGCTATTCGGGCCGCGACCGACCTCCTGTAGGACTGAGATCTAATCACAATTGATTGATCACTGGGTGGTGATCAATCTCATGCGTGTCAGGTCCTTAGTGCTGATCGAATGCTATCGATCAAGTTGCAATGTGGCCACCAGTCTAGGTGGCTCGACACTGCGGGCACTATATATATTAGGGTAACATGGTGGTTGGAGGTGGTCAACAGGAAACCCTGGACCCGGGTTTCGTGCTACTTGGCACTCGTCAGCAAGGTGTACCTGTAATCCTGAGGGAACTGATGCTCCCTGGCGGATTCGATCCCGCGTCACTCAGCTTCACAGTCAGAGACGTTACCACTGAGCTATTCGGGCCGCGACCGACCTCCTGTAGGACTGAGATCTAATCACAATTGATTGATCACTGGGTGGTGATCAATCTCATGCGTGTCAGGTCCTTAGTGCTGATCGAATGCTATCGATCAAGTTGCAATGTGGCCACCAGTCTAGGTGGCTCGACACTGCGGGCACTATATATATTAGGGTAACATGGTGGTTGGAGGTGGTCAACAGGAAACCCTGGACCCGGGTTTCGTGCTACTTGGCACTCGTCAGCAAGGTGTACCTGTAATCCTGAGGGAACTGATGCTCCCTGGCGGATTCGATCCCGCGTCACTCAGCTTCACAGTCAGAGACGTTACCACTGAGCTATTCGGGCCGCGACCGACCTCCTGTAGGACTGAGATCTAATCACAATTGATTGATCACTGGGTGGTGATCAATCTCATGCGTGTCAGGTCCTTAGTGCTGATCGAATGCTATCGATCAAGTTGCAATGTGGCCACCAGTCTAGGTGGCTCGACACTGCGGGCACTATATATATTAGGGTAACATGGTGGTTGGAGGTGGTCAACAGGAAACCCTGGACCCGGGTTTCGTGCTACTTGGCACTCGTCAGCAAGGTGTACCTGTAATCCTGAGGGAACTGATGCTCCCTGGCGGATTCGATCCCGCGTCACTCAGCTTCACAGTCAGAGACGTTACCACTGAGCTATTCGGGCCGCGACCGACCTCCTGTAGGACTGAGATCTAATCACAATTGATTGATCACTGGGTGGTGATCAATCTCATGCGTGTCAGGTCCTTAGTGCTGATCGAATGCTATCGATCAAGTTGCAATGTGGCCACCAGTCTAGGTGGCTCGACACTGCGGGCACTATATATATTAGGGTAACATGGTGGTTGGAGGTGGTCAACAGGAAACCCTGGACCCGGGTTTCGTGCTACTTGGCACTCGTCAGCAAGGTGTACCTGTAATCCTGAGGGAACTGATGCTCCCTGGCGGATTCGATCCCGCGTCACTCAGCTTCACAGTCAGAGACGTTACCACTGAGCTATTCGGGCCGCGACCGACCTCCTGTAGGACTGAGATCTAATCACAATTGATTGATCACTGGGTGGTGATCAATCTCATGCGTGTCAGGTCCTTAGTGCTGATCGAATGCTATCGATCAAGTTGCAATGTGGCCACCAGTCTAGGTGGCTCGACACTGCGGGCACTATATATATTAGGGTAACATGGTGGTTGGAGGTGGTCAACAGGAAACCCTGGACCCGGGTTTCGTGCTACTTGGCACTCGTCAGCAAGGTGTACCTGTAATCTTGAGGGAACTGATGCTCCCTGGCGGATTCGATCCCGCGTCACTCAGCTTCACAGTCAGAGACGTTACCACTGAGCTATTCGGGCCGCGACCGACCTCCTGTAGGACTGAGATCTAATCACAATTGATTGATCACTGGGTGGTGATCAATCTCATGCGTGTCAGGTCCTTAGTGCTGATCGAATGCTATCGATCAAGTTGCAATGTGGCCACCAGTCTAGGTGGCTCGACACTGCGGGCACTATATATATTAGGGTAACATGGTGGTTGGAGGTGGTCAACAGGAAACCCTGGACCCGGGTTTCGTGCTACTTGGCACGAAACCCGGGTCCAGGGTTTCCTGTTGACCACCTCCAACCACCATGTTACCCTAATATATATAGTGCCCGCAGTGTCGAGCCACCTAGACTGGTGGCCACATTGCAACTTGATCGATAGCATTCGATCAGCACTAAGGACCTGACACGCATGAGATTGATCACCACCCAGTGATCAATCAATTGTGATTAGATCTCAGTCCTACAGGAGGTCGGTCGCGGCCCGAATAGCTCAGTGGTAACGTCTCTGACTGTGAAGCTGAGTGACGCGGGATCGAATCCGCCAGGGAGCATCAGTTCCCTCAGGATTACAGGTACACCTTGCTGACGAGTGCCAAGTAGCACGAAACCCGGGTCCAGGGTTTCCTGTTGACCACCTCCAACCACCATGTTACCCTAATATATATAGTGCCCGCAGTGTCGAGCCACCTAGACTGGTGGCCACATTGCAACTTGATCGATAGCATTCGATCAGCACTAAGGACCTGACACGCATGAGATTGATCACCACCCAGTGATCAATCAATTGTGATTAGATCTCAGTCCTACAGGAGGTCGGTCGCGGCCCGAATAGCTCAGTGGTAACGTCTCTGACTGTGAAGCTGAGTGACGCGGGATCGAATCCGCCAGGGAGCATCAGTTCCCTCAGGATTACAGGTACACCTTGCTGACGAGTGCCAAGTAGCACGAAACCCGGGTCCAGGGTTTCCTGTTGACCACCTCCAACCACCATGTTACCCTAATATATATAGTGCCCGCAGTGTCGAGCCACCTAGACTGGTGGCCACATTGCAACTTGATCGATAGCATTCGATCAGCACTAAGGACCTGACACGCATGAGATTGATCACCACCCAGTGATCAATCAATTGTGTATTATATTTTCATTTGAAGGGGAAACCTGGCCTCCATAACGTATTGAATAGTATATATTGATGTGAAGTGTCTGAGAATACGGACAGATTGTAGTGACAAGACAGTCAAATTTGATCAACAGTTATAGACATGTTAAGTGGCGACAAATCCTTGTCAGATATTAGACGATTATCCATCTCAGGCCAAGGGCGAAGAGTTGCGTAAAATCATGGATTGATCGGAGTCAGACATTAACACCGTTGAGTCCAGGTTCAGAGGTACAGAGACTAAGCGTTCTCATGAGAGAATGAAGATCTTGGGTTCGAGTCGATGAACTTTGCTGGGGAGTCTGAGCATGAACAAAACGGGCAACTAATGTATAAATGCTGGCCTAGCGTAGATGGACTCCTGATCTCAACTGTGAAAAGATTAGCCAAACTTTAAAATGACAAAGAGCTGTTCCTTACTACTGTAGAGGACCAAACATATCAAAATAATAGTGGAGTTATAACAAAAAATATAAAGACAGCCGACAATATGCACAAATATAAATGTTCGCAATAAAAAATATGGGGCGTTACTTAAATTGTTAGGGGGAAGTGTTCAAGTTTTGGCATTATAACCCACAATAATAAAAATTCAATAATTTCAAATATGATAGATATAATTCAAGACAATATGTATCCGGAATTATCACGTAGTAGGAATGTCAATGGGGTGTGTGAACGTAGCTGGCAAATGTAGTTGAAGTCTGTTATTGAGGCAGCTGTTAATTGAGGACGAGAAGTGTATGTGCAACAGTGTATTTATTAGCGAAAACCAATGTCATGCAAGCAAAGAACAGAGAAGTGATGAAAGACCAAGGCCTCGTTTAAACAACGGCTTTAAATTCCATAACAATATCTGCACAAGCTGCGAAAATACAAATAATGACAAAAATCGTTGAAAAAACAAGTTTATACTAACCATCTCCAAAATACTTGAATACAGTTGGATCCTAAATTAATTCGCTACACGTCTGCTATGTGACTTGTCTGGAGATTGTTGATTAAAAGTTCCTCTTAGAAAGTTAGTTAATTTACATCAGTTGGCTCCAGAAACCTTGATTCTTGTGTTTCAAGCAGTTACACTTTGCTTATTCAATCGCTCACCTTTCTAAGCGCAACATCACTCCCCCTTTATTCCCTTCAGGGTTATTAACAGATAAAGAGTGAGGGCTGGACATATGGTAGCAACCCTATGCTGTAGGAAAAAACCTTGTCAATAAAGATCAACTGATCAAAACTTCGAAATGCTTTCTTGGCAGCTGAAGGGCATCGAATGAGGGATACTTGTTCTCAAGGTCGTTGGTGGCACTGACCAGTTTTCGAGACTTGAGTGCCAGGGAGATATTTATGTGGTCTGATGACGAATCCTTATCCAGAAAAACTAACGTCGCTAGTTCTGTAGGTCACCGAAACAACCTGGGCGAAAAAAAGGTACGCTTTTATTCACTATAGTCCTACTTATGGGACAGGCTGAGGACAAAAACAATTTTTTATCTTTGTGTTGTCTGGCTGATCCTGTTTGGGAATTGTTGGACCCTCTACCAGATATCAGATTGCTGTTTTCCTCTTTCGACAGTCAGTTCTTCGGAAATTCTCTTGGATGTGTAGAAGTTAAATGGAGCTCCCGGATGACGCTTTGTGCAGGAGTTTGCAAATTTCACAAACCTTATGGAATGTGTTCCATCAGCCTAAGTGAACCTCTACTGAAATTTAGACCGCGGAAAGATCTCGTGGAGACTCTGCTGGTATGACCTAACCATTGTAATTACTTTTGTAGCATGAAATGATTCATGCATTTTTATTCATAACAAGGAGGGACAAGGTTTGTTAGATCACTCCTAATCCAAATCTTAAGGATCGTGATGACCATGGACCCAATTTCATATCGCACATGCATCGCATCAATTCGTTGGCTGGAGTAAATATTACTGTAATATCAGTGTTTTAATATCCCAGTGTGTCATTTATTTCCCTGTACATATCGTTATCAGCTTAATAGTTAATTTTATTTCAGTCACAGAAATATATATTAGTGTGTCAACTACACTCTTTTTATCCCAGGAAAGTGTCTTAGGATCATTCTCTTGTTTGCAGCATAACTTTTTTTACCTGACCCACATTGCCGTTGCTTAGAACCTTTGGAAAGTTTGAGTAGTGATATTTAGTCGATCAGTATATTTTGGCTTTAGTGAAGGTTCTCTGTTCGTTGAGTTTTAGGATGACCAGAAAAGCCAGGCTCCTGATTTGATCACTAGTTCATATGGGGATATGGAAAGTCACGTTCTGCATCCTATTTTTAGATAAAGTTGCTTAAACACTTACCTTCATATTTCTAAATTGCCTCTTGATGGGCTAGACAATGTATCACATACGAACTATTAATAAATGGTTTTTAGCCTAGCCTTCGAATCTAAGCTTGTTACTCAACGAATGTTTCGCTAAGTTCTTACACTCAATATCAATTTGATCTGAAAGTTTTTTATATTGACCCCGTCCAATTATCCATGGGGGAATACAGTTTCTGTGAGTAACGGTTTTCGCTTGACTGTTAGTTGCCTTACACAAAGGTCGTTGGCTTCTTTTCCAATGTGTAGTTAAGAGTACTGCGTTTGGTCTTATGTAATAGTTAAACAAACTTCGACAAGTCAGAAAAGTATATACCCCAGTTTTCATAAGAAGTCAATAAATCCGAGTTTATTTTGTGTGTTGTACAACCGACCAGCTGTATTTACCTAGACTAGCTTATTCTTGTATTCAGTCAGTCAGCTACAACGTAGGACCAGGCACATTTATGCATCGGTCCAAGTTGCCATACCTCGTTAGCACAACAAGATGAACACCGGGTTCATAGAAGTAGTTAATTTAGTGGTGGTAGTAGTATATAAATTATAGGTTGTATACAAGGATATAGTACAGGAAGGAGGAGAGATATGAAGCAATTTTAGTCTCAAGGTTTAAAGGAAGATAAAGAGTGTATACACCTACGCCATTGTGATCGATTCTGAGCCATGTCACCTAGAGTCTCCAACCATTGGTTACGATAGTCACGCGGACCCCAACCAGGTAGTCTGCATCTGCCAACATGGCTCAGACTAGAATTTAGTGACTTCAAACACTGATGCCATGTTTTGGTTTGGCCGCCCCTAACTCTTTTTCAACCATCCCCTACACTAGTCATCATAGCGCGTCTTGGTAATCGGTGTTCAGGCGTACGTAACACGTGGCCTAACCATCTCAGTCAATGAAGATTCATCACCTCATCAACTGATTTACTATCATTTCTTAATACCCTACGTCGAACCTCACTATTACTTACCCGGTGGTCCCAACAGATGCGAGCAATATTTCTAAGGCATCTGTGATCAAATACTAGTAACCTACGAGTATCTTCTACTCTTAATGGCCATGTTTCACAACCGTAAAGTAGAACAGAGCGAACTGATGCGCAGTATACTCGTCCCTTAATTGATAGACGGATATCTCGTCTTCGCCATAGGTGACGTAAGTTGGCAAAAGCTAAACGAGCTTTTTGAATCCGTGCTGAGATTTCGTCAGACACCAACCCATTAGGGCTGATCAGACTTCCAAGATAAGTGTATTAATTTAGTTACTAGCGTGTTAATACTAGCTGGTCACTGGTGTTTATTATTTGCCGTACTAGACTTGAAAACCTTGATAACTATCACTAAATTCACATAATGTACTTCAAGGTGAACAGAACGACATCCAATTAACTCATATATCAGGTGCAACCCAAAATCTGGCAGTCATACATAATAGAAGTTAATATGTCGAACAGTAGTGTCATTCAGTAACCATATATAAGTTCGTGAGCTCAGCTCACTCCGTTTGACCCAAAGTTACTACTTATCCTTTCAAATCACAGTAGTTGGTGTTAGGTCCATACATTCAACCGAATGACAAAAAGTCAGGTGATCAAACGAGTAGCTTCAACGTTTAAAGATGCAGACTCGAGTGTTTCAGTGATGCATCGAATGGATGTGAGGTTTGAGTAGCAAATGCAAGAAACCTAGTGTTTGTATAAGAACATTGCATGATTTTGTCTTCGAGTGGTGATAAAAACGAAGTGATCTCTAGTTAAGCGGATTCAGTTACAGGCCATCATAGCATCTATTTTAGACTTATTTAGATGGTTTACTTTTTCATAAGCAACAGATTGGTGATCAATGACTTTGTAACTTGAGATTATAACTTTTGTCTGCTAGTATCTTTATTAAGGTCTACATGTTTGATTACATTTGGTTGTGTTATATTTCCAGGTTTACCACTCATTTCATGATGAAGTTGATGCATATCGCACTCACTGGTGGCGTTGTACCGGTCCATGTCGCGACCGTCCACCATACTTTGGCTATGTTAAACGTTCTATGAATAGAGTGCCTGGTCCTAAGGATACTTGGTGGGGTCAGCATCAAGCTACGTGTATAGGTAAGCTCATAGTTATATGCTATGTTGCGAAAGTTGGGAGTATAATTTGGTATTTGTTTATAATTATCTGCTCATAGCATTTTTTTCATTCCAAAATACGAGCTTTGGTGTTTAAGTTTTCAGTATTTCGCATTTTGAGGTTTTTTCATGCGCACTGCATCTTGAAAATTAGTTTATTGCTTTGGAGTGGCAGTAATACTGCTTAGTTGTAACTCATTGGTAAGTTTAGACTATCATTAACCTTCTCAATGGAAGTGAATACCTGGACTCATTGAATTCTAATCTGCTGACATTTTCAGGTAGATGTGTAGTGTTGAAGTAAAAAATATTTGTTCACCTCTGTTGTTTTAGCTAGTGTCGCCACAAAACTCAACATTACCTTTTAGTAATGTTTCCTTTGCTATTCAGTCAACTTCCGCTTCCACATTTCAGAATTCGATGGTATGACGTACGTACAGCAGCTATAAACAAAAAGTAGTACTTTTCAACACAAATTTGTTGTCATTTTCTCTCTAGCTTCCCACAAACAATCACTACGCTTAGAGCATAGCTTACAAAGTAGAACATTCACAAACCGATGTTTGTAATGGCCACTTTATAAGATCGTCACATGACATCTGCCAGGACGTTACTAAATGTTTTGCCAGTTTATAATGTTTGTAAAAATAACCTTCAATGTGATTTTCATCTCCGTAACATACCTTTCCTGATCCTAGTAACAAGTTTTAGTTTTTGCCTGTGGTAGATTCAGCTTGTGGCCGATTATGCAAAACTATGTGTGGTTGATGTTGGATGCCCCCAAATGCCCTGGTACGGCCGAGAGTGGGGAGGGTCCGCTCTCCCTATCGAAACGCTCTCACATGGCCACGCGAATATATAGCCTCTGACAGGGAAGTCCTACTCACTGCCTTCTCGTGGCATTACTGTTGTTTACGAAATTGAGAGGACGAAAAGCGAATGTCCGGCGCTTTAACCGGGTTGGTGGATGTGGGGGATCCACCTAGGGGAGTTGGAAAACCCTGATTCCAAACCAGTGGTGCACATGGGCTCCAGTATCCTGAAGGAACAAATTGCGTATGAACCAATTGTTGGTCACCGGCTACCATGGGACTGCATCTCCTTACGATGCTCCACTGCCTTGTGGACTAGACCTTTAGGTCAAAGGCTCAGGATGTGGTCCCCTAAAGAAACCACCTGCTTCAGTCTGGGCAGTATCACAGCCCTCACACAAATCAAATGAGATTTGTGAGGCGCATATTTCAGTCAGTCAGTCAGTCAGTTACAACGTAGAACTTCGTACGTACGTACATCAGTTCGAGTTGCCATACCACATTAGCACAGAGATGAAGTTGTCGATTCAAATCCCATATTGGTAGAAGTAGTAAGAGTATAAGTATTATGTGAAAGATAAGGGTTTGAAGATGTTATTGAAGGAGTATAATACAGTGAAATAAATTTGGAAAGAGAAAAAGGTCACAAATAATTCAGATTAGAATTTGGGAGAACACAAAGAGTGGATACACCTCCGCCATTGCAAACGATTTTGAGCCATGTCATTCAAGGTCTCTAACCATCGGTTGCTATCATCTCGCGAATCCCAACCAGGTAGTCTACACCTACCAACATGGCTCAGTCCACTTGTCAGTGACTTCATGGATTTATGCCATGTTTTGGTCTGGCCGCCCCTAGCTTTCTTCCAACCTACTCCTACACTATAAAGCATTGCACGTCGGGGCAGTCGGTGGTTGGGCATACGTAGCACGTGTCCCAGCCATCTCAACTGATGAAGTTTCACTACTTCATCAATCGATTTGCCATCCTTACCTAGTACCCGTTTCCTAACATCTGCATTACTTACCCGGTGGTCCCAGGATATACGAGCAATTTTTCGAAGACATCGAAAGCTAGTAGCCTACGAATATCCTCTACTCTTATGGGCCATGTTTCACTGCCATAAAGTAGGACGGAACGGACTGCTGCACAGTAAACCCGTCCTTTTGTTGCTAGACGGATATCTCGCCTACGCCATAGATGGTGCAAGTTGGCGAAAGCTAGACGAGCCTTCTGTATCCGTGCTGAGATTTCGTCATACACCAGACCACAAGGGCTGATGAGACTACCAAGATAAGTGAAGCTGTCAACACGCTCAACTACTTCACTCCCTATCATTAGTTCAGGTGTCGATGCAACCCAATCCTGAAGTAACATTTTGCACTTCGAGGGAGAGAATCGCATCCCGAACATGCCTTCATTGTTGCTTATGGTGGTCAGAAGACTGCATTTTGTCAGCGTCTTCACCAAATAAAACTATGTCGTCGGCGTATTCTAAGTCAATAAGTGAGCCTCCTGGTAAAAGTTCAACTCCAGGAGATTGAGATGATGAAAGTGATATCTCTAAAAGCATGTCGACGACAAAGTTAAACAGGAATGGGGAGAGTGGACAGCCCTGACGAACACCACTTGAGGTAACCAATTCTGATGACAGTTCGCCATAGGCTCTAACTCGACCAGTTGTGTTCGAGTAGAGAGCCTTTATGAGGTTAATGTACTTCTTTGGTACTCCTTTCACTGACAAACACTGCCATAGAACCTCACGATCAACGGAGTCAAATGCCGCCTTAAGGTCAATAAATACTACGATTGTGGGACGTCTGAATGTGTGTCTATGTTCTAGGACCTGACGTAGAGTGAATATCTGGTCTATGCAACCACGTCCAGGTCGGAAACCAGCCTGGTTTTCTCTAGTCTGCTCTTCGCGAGCTTTGGTTAGACGTCCAAGTATTATTGAAGCTAATATTTTAGACACTATACTAGTCAAACTGATTCCTCTGTGATTGTCACAGGAGGACTTTTTTCCTTTCTTATAGACTGGCACAATCAGTGATTGAGACCAGTCAGATGGAATTACGTCCAGTTCCCAGATTCTACCTAAGACCTCAGTCAATCTCGCTGCTAGTACTGGACCACCATCCTTAAAAATCTCAGGGGTAAACCTGTCAGGGCCTGCGGCTCTCCCTCGCTTTAGATTTCCTATAGCTTTTTCAACCTCGTAGAGAGTTGGAGGACTTACCTCAATCTGCCATTCAGGACGACTGAGGATCGTGGGTAACTGAAGTGTGGCTGAAGGCCAGTTGAACTGATCCCTAAAGTGTTCTGCCCATCGATCCAATCTCCTGGATTGAGAATGAATGACATGTCCATCTTTGTCTGAGGTAGTTTCGCTAACAGTTCGGTTCCTAATGCCGGTTTCTTTAATAAGTCTGAATAGCTGTCTGCTGTTACCTATTGCGCTGCCTTTTCCATCTCTCTTGCTTTCGCTACCCACCACTGTTCACGATCATTGCGTAGGCTTCTTATTAGCCTTCGCTTAAGCTGACTCCGCTCTTCGTTATGTTCAGAGACAGATGGGATGAGTTTTCGAGCGTCTATCAGTGAGGTAGATGCTGTTGAGATCCGTTTTTTCTCCCTGACCTTATGGCTTACCTTACTAGCGGATATCACTGCTGTTTCCACAGCTTTTTGGATGTCATTCCACACTTCCTCGGGTTGGGCACAACTTACATGTCTGTCTAACTGTTTTTCCAGGTGTTCCTGAAATATATTCTTAGCTTGCTTATCATTAAGTAGAACCCTTAGATGCTTCCCTGCAGTGACTTTCCTACGTCCAGTAAGACGCAGACAGATACGTGCTCGCACTAGAGCATGATCTGAGTCTAAACATGTGCCCCAGAATGATCGACAGTCTTCTATCGAGTTCCTCCATCGGTGGCTGGTAGCGATGTGATCTAATTGGGTCCAACGTTGGGACGAATTCGGGGGTCGCCATGTCAAAAGATGTTTTTCCTTATGCTTAAAGTTAATATTTGCAAGAAATAGGCGGTTATCTGAGCACAGCTGCAACAGACGGTTGCCATTATCTGTTCTTTTAGCCACGACACCATAAGATCCACCCAGGTGTCTTTCCCTTTCACTTAGTTTACCTACTTGAGCATTAAAGTCACCAGCCACTATTACTACATCAGAACGCCTAGCTTTTCGGAGAAGGTCAGAAAGTTTCCTGTAAAACTCATCTTTTATATCGTCTGAGCTGCAGTCAGTGGGAGAGTAGGCAGAGACGACGAAGAGGCAACGACGAGTTTCCCTATCTTTCCGAGTCCTTACTGATCCGTTTAGTCGGACAGCGCATAGACGACTGTCTACTGGGACCCAGTCTAAAAGAGCTAGTTCTGCCCTAGGACTTAATGCTATACCTACTCCAGCGAGGCCACGGGAAGCAGCATCAGGGCTTCCAGATACACGAAGCGTGTATCGAGATGGTTCTTTATTTTGATTAGGTGAGGTCAAATGAATGACACTACTCGGATCTTGTATGCGCGTTTCGGAGACGCAGCACACATCGATGGTGTAAGATTCTAGAGTCCTAGTTAAGGAAGCCTGTTGTCCTATTTGGCACAATGTTCGGACATTAAAAGTTCCTATATGTAGTTTGGAGCGTGGTTTCAGGAGACCAGGAATAACGTTCTGTGTACTTGAATCGTTTGCCCTAGCGGTGCGAGGAGATAAAAGGACGTGGGAAGGGCTAGTCGTGGAGATAACAGAGTTATTAGGAGATGTAGGAAGGATTTGAAAGTGACCAACTTGGTCTCGTGTGCAGTTAAGGGTATGAGGGCTAATATCACTTCCCGGCTGTCCACACCGTGGAAGGGTATTTCTTGAGGGACCTGAAAAAGAAGTTGGACTAGTGTTGGTCTGAGCGACCTGGAAGCGTGACCGCAGTGCCCAAGGGACAACTGCTTGAGGTCGGTCACGCACGGCCTTTTTGTGGGGTTTTTTGACGTGTTAGTTCCGTTCTTCAAAGGACCTTACCGCCGGAGACGGAAATCTGTGGGATAAGGCGAGGTGTGCATTTTTAGGGTCGACCTTTTCTAACCCCACCCCTCCTTGTGGGAAGGCAGCATCGCTGTCATGCTGGTTGTCTGAAGGAAACACCTTATTGCCGCCACACCTCTGTACAGTCAGCAGTACGACTTAGCCTTCGGACCTTGGGTTTGCTGTTTTTAGTCTTACCGCTCCTCAACCGACCTGTCTGGCATGGTAGGACCTTGACGAAAGATTGTTCCAGCCAGTATAGCTCGATAGGATCATCACGATAGGCAAGCCCGACCACCACATCAAGGTAGCAGCAACGGTCGGGGAGGCGCATATTTATCTGGTGCTTTCTTTGTACCAATATTTATGTGTTTAAATAAATAAATGATGTTGAATCATAATAGAATAGTATTTATCCTGACATGAATTAATCAGTGTGACTGTTTTTTGCCGGCAAAATAACCAATAAATAATGTAATAATATTTACAATTGATTTTCACTAAAACAAAATAAAGAAATTTTCAAGGTGAAAGCGCTCCTCACTTCTCGATTATTAATAACATAAAAGGGTAGTTCTTTTTGAGAGGCTTTGAAAGGAAGTTGGGTCAAGTTTAGTTCCGACGACCTGGGAGCGTTACCCCAGAGCTCAAGAAACATTTGTTGAAAACCGGTCAAACACAGCCTCTTTGTGAATGGTTTTTAATGTAATAGGTCTGTAATTTTCAAACCTTGTCACAAATAACTGGAATCCATGGGGGCAAGGTAAAGTGTGCTATTGTTAGAGTCAACTTCTTCCTTCCTCCATGAGAAACCAGCATTGTTCTATATATGTTGGGTGTTTGAGGGGGACATCTTACTGCCGTCACACCCCTGTGCAATTAGAAGTGTGACTTCGTCCTTGAATTTTAAGTTTACTACTTTTGTTTTTATCTTTCTTCAACTGACATACCTAACATGGTAGTACCCGAAGAAATGAGTGTTCCGTTCAGTGTAGCTCGATTGTGTCACCACGGTAAGCAAGTCTAACCACTATTTCAAGGTAATATCTATGGTTGTTGATCCCGTCGTGCTGATCTGGTATGGAAACTTGAGATAGTTTGCATCTGTGTTATGCTTTACACTGATTATGGAAGGAATGAGGAGATTTTTCCTGTAATATGGTGAATTTTATTCGACATAAGAGTTATCTTCGAAAATTTCAAGTTGATAAATAATTTCCCATTAAAATGTGGAACGTTAGCAACTTTTTCTGTATTCCTCGTTCTCATGATTAGGCGAGTTTTATAAAAACGACTTCAATTTGTTCATTTCTATTATCATAACACTAATAATAATAACCATCATAATTTTAATAATTATTATTATTTGGACGATTGTTTCTACCTAGATTTCTTGATTGCCATTTTTACATCATAATATTTACAGCAATATTCCTAACCCTATTGATTATTTATCTTGTGTTTCGTAAACCTCTTACTACATAGCCGTTTGCTTCTTAAAAATTATGTAGTCAAATTTCACATAGCAACCAGTCAAATTTTAATGGACATAATTATTTGTTGACCTACTATTTACCATAACTCCACCTGTAGCTCTTCTAGAGTTACTGACAGTCCCAAGCCCGGGTAAAGGAGGAGGGTTGGGCATGGGGTTAGCGACCCCATCCCGTAGAAAAGCTAACTCGCTAAAAAACGCTAACCAGAAAAAATAATTCAAACCATTTAAACTCTGCCCTCCGAGTTCAAGGAATAATTATGACGTCTCATGATAAAAGCCGAAATTTTTCGGAAGTCACGAGACCGATGCACCTAACAACTAGAGCAACACTCTTTATAGGTACATGGAACGTCCGGACAATGTGGGAGACAGGAAAGACCAGTCAAATAGCAATAGAAATGAGGAGATACAACTTAGCAGTACTCGGAATCAGCGAAACTCATTGGACACAAACTGGACAACAAAGGCTAGGTACAGGAGAGATGCTGCTGTACTCCGGTCACGAAGGGGAAAATGCTCCACACACTCAGGGAGTTGCTCTAATGCTGTCCAAAGAAGCAAGAAATGCACTTGTGGGATGGGAATCTCATGGACCCAGGATAATCAAAGCATCATTCAGAACAAAGAAGCCAGGGATCAAAATGAACATTATCCAATGTTATGCACCCACCAATGATAGCAACGACGATGATAAAGATCAGTTCTATGAAAGGCTGCAATAAATTATAGCAAAGTGCTCACGAAAGGACCTCACCATTCTGATGGGGGATCTAAATGCTAAAGTTGGAGTGGACAACACAGGATATGAAGATGTAATTGGACGAAATGGACTAGGAGAGAGAAATGAAAATGGGGAAAGACTTGCAAATCTATGTGCATTCAACAAATTGGTTATAGGCGGCACAATATTCCCACACAAGCGCATACACAAAGTTATATGGATCTCACCGGACCACACCACAGAGAACCAGATAGATCACATCTGTATCAACAAAATTTCCGAAGATCAATGGAAGATGTGAGAACCCGGAGAGTAGTTGACATAGCTTCAGATCACCACCTGGTTGTGGCCAAGATGAGACTGAAGCTAAAGAAACACTGGACAACTGGACAAACAGCACTATAAAGGTTCAATACGGCCTTCCTTCGAGATATTGACAAGCTCCACGAATTCAAGATAACTCTCAACAACAGGTTCCAAGCTCTACAGAATCTACTGAAAGAACAAGAAACTACTTTGGAGGACAACTGGAAAGGGATCAAAGAAGCACTAACTTCAACGTGTCAGGAGGTTCTTGGTCCTAAGAAGCATCATCATAAGGAATGGATCTCTATGGGAACCCTGGACAAAATTCAAAAAAGGAAGAACAAGAAACTAGCAATTAACAACATCCGAACACGAGCAGAGAAAGTCAAAGCACAAGCAGACTACGCAGAAGCAAACCAGGAAGTTAAGAAAAGCATTAAAGCCGACAAGCAGAAATACATGGGAGAACTAGTAACGACGGCGGAAAACGCTGCAAGAGAAGGGAATATGAGACAACTATATGATACAACGAAGAAATTAGCAGGGAGATATAGCAAACCAGAGAGACCAGTCAAGGACAAAAAAGGAAAGACAATCACGGATATTGAAGAACAGAGGAAAAGATGGGCAGAATACTTTGAGGAACTGCTGAATAGACCAGCCCCATTGAATCAACCGAACATCGAAGCAGCCCACACTGACCTTCCTATAGATGTCACTCCACCAACGATCGAAGAAGTCAAGATGGCCATCAGACAAATCAAAAGTGGGAAGACGGCAGGACCTGACAATATACCAGCAGAAGCACTGAAGTCAGACATTGAAATAACTGCAAACATGCTTCACCTTCTATTCAAGAAGATTTGGAAGGAGAGACAAGTGCCAACGGACTGGAAAGAAGGATATCTCATCAAGATACCAAAGAAAGGAGATCTGAGCATATGTGAAAACTACAGAGGCATAAGTTTGTTATCAGTACCAGGAAAAGTTTTCAACAGAGTGCTGCTGAATCGGATAAAAGACGCAGTAGACGCCGAACTTAGGGATCAACAGGCTGGATTCCGTAAGGATCGGTCGTGCACAGACCAGATTGCGACACTACGGATCATCGTTGAACAATCAGTTGAGTGGAACTCATCACTATAAGTCAACTTCATTGACTGTGAGAAGGCGTTTGACGGCGTGGATAGGAGAACATTTTGGAAACTTCTTCGACACTATGGAGTTCCTCAGAAGATCGTCAACATTATCCAAAACTCATACGATGGACCACAGTGCAAAGTCATGCATGGAGGACAGCTGACAGATGCATTTCCTGTAAGGACCGTAGTCAGACAAGCCTGTCTACTCTCCCCATTCCTCTTCCTTCTAGTGATTGACTGGATTATGAAGAATTCGACATCTGAAGGGAAATACGGAATACAATGGACAGCTCAGAATCAATTAGATGATTTGGACTTCGCAGATGATCTAGCCCTCCTCTCTCATACACACGAACAAATGCAGATGAAGACAGCAAATGTAGCAGCAGCCTCTGCATCGATAGGCCTCCACATTCACAAAGGAAAAAGCAAGATTCTCAAATGCAACACGGAGAATATCAACCCAATCACACTTGATGGCGAAACTCTGGAAGAGGTGGAAACATTCAAGTACCTGGGGAGCATCGTTGATAAACAAGGAGGATCGGATGCAGATGTAAAGGCGAGGATTGGCAAAGCAAGGGCAGCATTTTTACAATTGAAGAACATATGGAACTCAAAACAACTCTCAACTAATTTCAAGGTCAGAATCTTCAATACGAACGTCAAGACAGTCCTACTGTATGGAGCTGAAACGTGGAGAACTACTACGGCCATCATCAGGAAGGTACAAGTATTTATAAACAGTTGTCTACGCAAAATACTCAACATCCATTGGCCGGATACTATCAGCAACAGCGTTTTATGGGAGAGGACAAACCAGCTTCCAGCTGAAGAGGAAATTAGGAAAAGACGTTGGAAGTGGATCGGACATACATTAAGGAAATCACCAATGTGCATCACGAGGCAATCCGCAACTTGGAATCCGGAATGGAAGCGGGAGGCCAAAGAACACACTACGCCGGGAAATAGAAGCAGATATGAAAAGGATGAATGTTGACTGGAAAGAACTGGAAGGCTCAGGACAGAGTTAGATGGAGAATGCTGGTGAGCGGCCTATGTTCCTCGACGAGGGTTAACAGGCGTAAGTAAGTAAGTAAGTACTATTTACCATTTATGTATACGACTGTATAGCTCTAAACAGAAGCTCCTTGAGAAGGATTCTTTCTCTGAATAAATTGTTTTAATAGTTTGTTAAAAATTTGTACTTATTAAGTGATTTTAGTTAGTAAATCTTTGAATGAACTATTCAAATTAGAAAACTATCTTAGTGTTCTACATTTTTGTTATTGATACTGTTTTGTTGCAATTAGGTAAATTTGTAAAAATCAAGGAACCAGTCAAGAAAGTTCCATCTAAACGGAAAACTTCACTTGAATCCAGTTCAAAAGACCAATCTACATCAAGTAATTACAAGTTCTACTTTATTCTATGAATTTTTTGAGTCTGTTGACTATATTGTAACAGGGCAGTTGATTGTTAAGTGATATAACTAAACCTCACACAAAAAATCTGGCTCGAATTTGAGTGGAGGGATATGTGTTTGTTTACGAAGTACCGTATAAACATGGAAATACTGTTTTGTTTGTTGTCAGACCGTCTCAGGACTCTTAAAATAGTCAGTCAGTCAGTCAGTTACAACGTAGAACTTCGTACGTACGTACATCAGTTCGAGTTGCCATACCACATTAGCACAGAGATGAAGTTGTCGATTCAAATCCCATATTGGTAGAAGTAGTAAGAGTATAAGTATTATGTGAAAGATAAGGGTTTGAAGATGTTATTGAAGGAGTATAATACAGTGAAATAAATTTGGAAAGAGAAAAAGGTCACAAATAATTCAGATTAGAATTTGGGAGAACACAAAGAGTGGATACACCTCCGCCATTGCAAACGATTTTGAGCCATGTCATTCAAGGTCTCTAACCATCGGTTGCTATCATCTCGCGAATCCCAACCAGGTAGTCTACACCTACCAACATGGCTCAGTCCACTTGTCAGTGACTTCATGGATTTATGCCATGTTTTGGTCTGGCCGCCCCTAGCTTTCTTCCAACCTACTCCTACACTATAAAGCATTGCACGTCGGGGCAGTCGGTGGTTGGGCATACGTAGCACGTGTCCCAGCCATCTCAACTGATGAAGTTTCACTACTTCATCAATCGATTTGCCATCCTTACCTAGTACCCGTTTCCTAACATCTGCATTACTTACCCGGTGGTCCCAGGATATACGAGCAATTTTTCGAAGACATCGAAAGCTAGTAGCCTACGAATATCCTCTACTCTTATGGGCCATGTTTCACTGCCATAAAGTAGGACGGAACGGACTGCTGCACAGTAAACCCGTCCTTTTGTTGCTAGACGGATATCTCGCCTACGCCATAGATGGTGCAAGTTGGCGAAAGCTAGACGAGCCTTCTGTATCCGTGCTGAGATTTCGTCATACACCAGACCACAAGGGCTGATGAGACTACCAAGATAAGTGAAGCTGTCAACACGCTCAACTACTTCACTCCCTATCATTAGTTCAGGTGTCGATGCAACCCAATCCTGAAGTAACATTTTGCACTTCGAGGGAGAGAATCGCATCCCGAACATGCCTTCATTGTTGCTTATGGTGGTCAGAAGACTGCATTTTGTCAGCGTCTTCACCAAATAAAACTATGTCGTCGGCGTATTCTAAGTCAATAAGTGAGCCTCCTGGTAAAAGTTCAACTCCAGGAGATTGAGATGATGAAAGTGATATCTCTAAAAGCATGTCGACGACAAAGTTAAACAGGAATGGGGAGAGTGGACAGCCCTGACGAACACCACTTGAGGTAACCAATTCTGATGACGCTTAAAATAAAAAAGCATGTACCGTTCCTCAGAGTATTATGTTAGAGGTTAACTGAATTACCTAACCTAACGTTTGACCACCATGATAGTGGATTAAAAATATGAATTAATCCTTAAATAATAACGAAAAAGAGATCTAGCCATAAATTGTATCACAAGCTATTTCTCATTATAGATCAGAAGGGGTTTTCGCGGAGATTTCAGTATTTTCATAGTTGAAATCATGAGTCAATTGAAGCTAGACCACCATGGAAAACCTGGAAGCACTGGACAGCCGTTTCGTCTTATTATGGTACTCCTCAGCAGTGCGCACGCACGGCTCAGTGGTCTATCGGTTAAATGCTCCGTCGCGAGACTGGTAGGTCCTGGGTTCGAATTTCGCGGGTGCCGTGGATGCTCACTGCTGAGGGGTCCCATAATAGGACGAAACGTCTGTCCAGTGCTTCGAGGTTTTCCATGGTGGTCTAACTTCAATTGACTCATGGTTTCAACTATGTTTCTCATTAGTTAGTCCGATTGTTTATCCTTAAGATGAACTTACAAATTCTATTTGGATTCCAACAAATCCAATGATTGTATTTTGTGATAACCATTTTCTCAAGGTTAGGTTACAAAGTCTTGTTGTTGTTCTCGCAACAAATCTCTTAATAATACGGAGGATTGTGTTTAAATCTATTGTGACGTGTAGTATCTGAAATCTGATGCTGATACACTGCGTGCTATGTGCTAACCCTCCCAACTGATTACTCGATCGGAAACACAAAAGTGAGCGACGTGTGCATTGGACTACAGAATACTCATTCATATATATGCCACTCTATCCTTAGGAATTCGTTTTCTGAGGTTACAAATTTAACAGATATCTGCTGTACTAACGGAGATTCATCACATTTCAGGGAAATATCTTATTTCCAAAAGTTCACGTATTGAGTAAACAATGATGCAGTTATGTGACCCAAAGAGGAATATGTATTTTACGGAAAATTGTGAATTATGTATATAGTTAAAAATATTCATAATAAAGTCGAAATATACCCTTGAGCTAAAGGTGATAGTGAAAATCGCTTCAAATTCATATCACATTTATTAAAGTAGAATTAGGAACTAGTGTTAGAATTTAGTATTGGAAGTTAGTGTTTGGGTTTTCATCACGTAGTGACAACTGAAATGCCAGAATCCAAAATTCCATATCCTAAGTCCCAATCATAACATAGTAACTCATCCACTTAAACTTGCTGTCTCCTGACTGGCTAAGCAGGTTGAGATCTCAAAGTCGTTTAGTGCAAAATGAAATCTCGACAACTGTAAGTTATTTGTTGAGTAATTATGTATGACAACGAATATTAACTATAATTTGCTTAAATCTGCACAATAAGTCCGGATTTTCTTCACTTTTGTTTCCAGAAAAACAAATTAGGAGTGGTGATATTCGAAAGTTTGTCACCATTAATGATGTGAAAGAAAATACCTCTACAGAATTCGCTAGTCACCCGAACAATGGTGGGAGCAGTTATTCATCAGTTCATGTTTGGCCTAGCGATGATAAAGGTCATATCCTCGGAAATGGTCATTCGTCATGTCAAGATATGGCACTGGTCAAATCGAAACCAAATGTAGTTGAAACAATTGATTTATCGGAAGTATCCTGCCCTAACTGCTCTTGTACTGTTTTGCTCTCTCAGATTAATCAACACTTAGATATTTGCCTTTCATAGAACTATTTTTACAAATTTTTGAAAATAAACTTCTTTATAGTATTATAACTTTGGTTCTAATACCTTAACCTAAAATCTCCAGAAGTGTGTTCTGAACTAACTTTCCGACATGTTGTGTAAGTATCTCTATATTTCTCTTTAAAAGCTTACTTTAGTGTTTTTTATTTGCTGGGATTGATATCTCATTGACTAATTTTGGAAATGAAACGTGGTGTACTTGTTAGATAGGATCTTTCTACGAATGGATAACATCTCAATATTTTAGCGTGGAATTTCATATAGCTTGATCACACAGTAAGTTGCTCTCAGCTTCAATTTCTCATATACTTTTTACAGACGACTATTTCATCTTCTTATCTTTAGTTATCCAATGCACAAGTCTTGAGGTTGGTGGAGATGTTTTATACCTCATTTGGGTAACTTTGTTGGGGTTTTGTTCTCTGTGATGGATAGTTTAGTTATGAAGCTTTCATTGTCCTCCTGGAGAACATTATCAACACGAACTTCAGATTGAAGTTTGTGCTGATGATGTTCAGAAAGACAATGGAAGCTTTACAACTGAACAATCCAACCTAGAGGACAAAACCCCACAAAAAATTGGCAAATCTTTTAAGGATCTGATACTGAGAAAGGTTGATTCAGGCTCTAAATACGACGAAGAGCGTAAAATAATCAGATCTAGGTTAACCACAAATTTAAGGAACGACCGTGAGCGGTGGTGGGCAACGGAAGCAAAAGAGATGGAAAAGGCAGCGGCTGTAGGCAACTCTTCAGACTAATAAAAGAAACCGGAATTAATAAGTCAAGTGTAAGTGAAACGATCTCGTAAAAAGACGGAACCCTTATCTGCTCTCAGCCCAGACGTTTAGAACGATGGGCAGAACACTTTAAGGAGCAGTTCAGCTGACCTTCAGCTACTGCACAACTATCCACTATTCCCAGACAGCCTGAATGGAACATTGAAGTAGGTCCCCCGACTTTAGCTGGAGTTCCAAATGTTGTAGCTAATCTGAAACGAGGAAGAGCAGCTAGTCCAGACAGTTTGGCTCCAGAGGTCTTTAAATATGGTGGTGCAATTTTAGCGACTAGGTTGACTAAAATCTGGGAGTTGGACGTAATCTCATCCGACTGGTCACAATCACTGATTGTCCTAATATATAAGAAGGGGTCAAAATCATCCTGCGATAACCATAGAGGGATTAGTCTGACTAACATAGCATCTGAAATTCTAGCTTCAATAATTATCGGGCGCCTAACTAAGACTCGTGAACTGCAAACACGAGAAAATCAGACTGGCTTCAGACCTGGTCGTGGCTGCATCGACCACATATTCACTATTCGTCAGGTTTTAGAACACAGACATGTTTATCGGCGTTCGACAATGATAGTTTTTCTTGACTTGAATGCAGCATTTGACTCTGTAGACCGAGAGGTTCTGTGGCAGTGTTTGTCACTGAAAGGTGTGCCTCAGAAGTACATAAACCTTGTGAAGGCTCTTTACTCGAACACTACCAGTCGAGTGAGAGCTTATGACGAACTGTCATATGATTTTACAACAAGTGGTGTCCGACAAGGATGTCCACTATCCCCATTTTTGTTTAACTTCATTATAGACCTGTTGCTTGAAATAACACTGTCGTCGACTGAATTTTCAGGAATTGATCTTCTACCAGGAGGTTCACTTATCGGCTTAGGATACGCAGATGACATAGTCCTGTTTGGTGAAGACGCTGACAAAATGCAGTCTTCTCTTAGAACTGGGTAATAATGCCAGAATGTTTGGGATGCGTTTCTCCCCATCTAAATGTAAATTGTTACTCCAGGACTGGCCTACGTCAACGCCTGAACTAAGGATAGGGAGCGAAGTAGTCGAGCGCGTCGACAGCTTCACTTATCTTGGAAGTCTGATCAGCCCTTATGGGTTGGTGTCTGACGAAATCTCAGCACGGATTCAAAAAGCTCGTTTAGCTTTTGCCAACTTACGTCACCTATGGCGAAGACGAGATATCCGTCTATCAATTAAGGGACGAGTATACTGCGCAGCAGTTCGTTCTGTTCTACTTTACGGCTGTGAAACATGGCCATTAAGGGTAGAAGATACTCGTAAGTTACTAGTATTTGATCACAGATGCCTTAGAAATATTGCTCGCATCTGTTGGGACCACCGGGTAAGTAATAGTGAGGTTCGACGTAGGGTATTAAGAAATGATAGTAAATCAGTTGATGAGGTGATGAATCTTCATTGACTGAGATGGTTAGGCCACGTGTTACGTATGCCTGAACACCAATTATCACGACTCGCAATGCTGACTAGTGTTGGGGATGGTTGAAAGAGAGTTAGAGGCGGCCTAACCAAAACGTGGCATCACTGCATAAAGTCATTAACTTGTGGTCTGAGCCATGTTGGTAGATACAGACTACTTAGTTGTGGTTCGTGCGACTATTGTAACCAATGGTTGGAGACTCTGTGTGACATGGCTCAGAATCGATCACATTGACGTCGGTGTATACACTCTTTGTCTGCCCTTAAACTGTGAGATTAAAATTACTTTATACCTTTCTTTATACGAACTAATTCATTTTCCCTGTATTATACCCTTATACACGATCTTTCTTCTATGTATTACTATCGTTGAAGTAACTACTATGAATTTGATGTTCATCTTGTTGTGCTAATGAAGTATGGCAACTTGAACCGATGGATATATGTGCCTGATCTTACATTGTGGCTGACTTACTGCTTCAGACGAGGAACATTTATTTATTAATACTTTTTGATGTCGTAAGTAAATCAATAAAAGAAAATACTGAAATGGTAAAAATTCAATTAAAAAATCACCTCTGGTTGTGGCAAAAATGAGAGACGCATCATGCAGAAAGTGTTGACGTAAAAAGCAGAAACTGAAATATACTGGAACCAAGTGATGTAAAGCGAAACGTTGTACGAAGACCTTTTTGCTATTATTACCCGTTCTCCAATTATCAAGCTATTGTTTACAATGCAGAGAGAATCCTAGTGACAAGGTGTTTTCAAGACTCGTCATTCAAACTTTTCAACCATTTTTCGGCTTTTCAGCATTTGGCTTTCTGAATTATCTGATTTATCACAGTTTTAGTTTAGTTGATCATTTGTTCGCTAGTGGTTGTCTGGGAAAGCTATCGATCTCCCAACTTCAAAATTTTCAATATTAATTCAAGAACAAGACCAAGTAATCTTCATTGTTTTGTAAAAAAGACTTGACTTTTATAAGTAGATTCATGTATGTTTTACACCTTCAGTTTAAGTTATGTATTATTCACCTATTGTGTGAGACAACATTCACACAAAGGAGTTTGTCTTTGAGATCACATGCTTGATTATTTTGTATACAATAGTATGTTCGATAAAAACAATCAGAGAACAATCACTACATTTACTGTTGAAATAAAATATGTCGAACCCTGTAAAAGTTTTGAAATTTATGAATCAAAGATCTCCTTTATAGTTTTTGGACATGGTCACACCGATTTAACCGAATTTATTCGATTTTCGATTTGTTGTCCCCTCAGCTAATTGAATGAATATTCTAAAAAAAAATCTCGTAAACAACAGTGTTTGGAAAATAAAATGAATTCATCCTATTTCATGGCTTCTCACCAGCTGCGTACAGCTTATAATCACAATTATTAACATAACGACAAATAAATAATTAATATACTTTAGTTAGCATATATGTTCTAAACGTAACCGAAATCATAATTATAAGAAGAATAGAACATGAAATGTATGAATAAACATGGTCAGGTTCGATATGTATTTATAGGTTGCAAAGTAGTAACGCAGAGTGATGATTTTATAGTTATTAATAGTCATAATCAAGATGAATGAGACTATGCAAGGGTCATGAAATTAATAGACTGCATAATCACTCAACATAATAAGAAATGAAACCAAATAAATATGTTAAGATCAATAGCACTATGTAGGAGATAAGTGCTAGCAGACGACAAGAGGAGAGGGTTAAAAGGAATTCATTAATGTTATTTGATTAACATTCAGTCACCATGGCAGGAAACGGTATTGTTCATATTCACTTCACGTACACTGTCGAAACGATAACTAGCAATCGCCCTTGTGAAGACTACTCCCTCTTAGGTACAGGTCCCTAGGAACATTTTCAGAAAACCTAATAGATACTTTTCTTTCTGTCCTTCTTAGACATTCGCTACTGCAGGTACACGTAATTTCATAGATGATATTGGACTTAACATGAAGAAGGTACTGATGATATACCTTTGAATGATGTAACGAACATGGTGTTGTGTGGTGAAACTAGTTGAAGAGCAGGAAAACTTCTCAGAGCCACCTTGATTCCTCTGTTGACACTACCGAAACCTCATTTCCCTTGTATGGAGAGCGAATAAGGACAGGTTCTTTGCAAATAGTTAACTGATTATCTTTTTTAAAATATTTTTCTCCATATTTCGCAGTAAAGGTTTACAGGCATCCCTTTTTGAGATTCTTTTCTAGAATTGCCGATTCATCATTTTTTCGTTTGGGCATAACATTCTAGCTTCTTTAAAGAGCGTTTTAATAAGACTTCTTATATGACTCAGGACAAAAGCTGTTATAGTTTAAACACCGTCTCGTTCAGGTTTCTCTCCCACATATACTTTTCCTAATAGTTCCATTGTTTCTTTGTCTTAGACTATGATATGAAAAATTGAATTGATTATCTTTTTCACGTTCCATTGTTAGTATTATGTTTGGATGAGAGTTGCTGAAGTGGTTAATCAGACGGAAAACATGATTCATATCATAGGAAGTGTATTATCAAGATATCTGAAGTAGTATCTTGTGTTTTGGATTTCATGTCTTAGTTTTGTTTGTTTTATATCAGCCATAAAGACATCGGTCAAGATAGACCTTAATAATGACCTTACGGCCACTTCATCTATTTGGGTGTATAGTTAATTGTTAAACTGGAACTGAACTCGTGTTGAACAAAGTAGCAATAACT